GCATATTTATATATTTGAAGTCTACGTGTATATTTATATAATTATTTATGTAATTTTGTATATGGACATATGTATATTTCTTATTATTTTTATTTATTTTTATATACATAGATATATATACAAATTCATTCTAAGTGTATTTTGATATAAATATATATATATTAATTTTAAAATACAGTTAGAATAAAATTTCATATAGCTATATAATTTTTTTAAATTTTTTTATTATTATTTTAAAATTTTTTTATTTAATTTAAATTACTTATTATTTATATTTTATAATATATATATATACAATATATATAGTTATTATATATATTATATATATACGTGTGTAATTTAATTATAAGTGTATTTTTATATTAATATAAGTACATATTAATATAAAAATACACTTAGTATGACATTATATATATGATAGATAGACATATATTATATAGATATAATATATGTCTATATATCATATTTATACACATATATAATTTTTTTAATTTTTTTTATTAACACTAACTTTATTTTTTTTTTGATTTTACACTAGCAGGGAGACTGCCTGTCAGCACAGACAGTCCCCCTGCAGGCAGCACTATGGACACCTATTGTGACCATGTGATCGCTGTGTTAAGCGATCACATGGCCACAGGGGTCCTAAATCAGTGTGGGGAGACTGTCTGGGCTGCAGGCAGTCTCCCACAACCGGAGCAACGCTGATCGCCGCCGGGGGAACGACGGCGATCAGGTAAGTACCCCCAGACCGTTAGGACGGTTCAGGACCGTCATCGGTCCTCAAGGCAAAAATGCCGATGACGGTCCTGAACCGTCCTCGGTCGCTAAGGGGTTAAAAGCCATCTTTTCCACACTTGATAGTATTTTCCATAATTCAGTTGTACGTGTGAGTAATATCCCCTTTCCATTTGGGCCTGATGTTCTATCTGATTTATTACATTATCTGTCTTTATTATATAATTTTGATGCCAATTTCTAGCTATAACAATCTTTGCTGCTAGAAGTCCCTGTATAAATAAAGCCTTATCATTTCTTGATAACATTTCTAATTCCATATGAAAAAAGGCCCTTTGAATTGTAGCTGGAATTATAATATTAGTTACGCTAGAAAGAATACCAAAGATATCAATCAATACCTGTTTAACTTTATTACAGCTCCACCATATATGTTGGTAGGTTCCTACTATCTAATTACATTTTCAACATATTGGATTCACATCAACACTAAATTTTGCCATTCTCGCCGGAACCAGGTACCATCGCATTATGATCTTATAATGTAATTCAACCATATTTAAACAATGAGTAATCTTATTAACTCCCACTAAACTATTGATCCATTCTTCAAAATTTTTTGTTTTGAATATGAAGTTTTTTTTTTTTTTTTTCATAAAGGATAAAACAGTTCTGGGTTTGCGGTACAGAAAGGAAAACATGGGAACAGGAGGTTACATTATTCATGTCACATCATTAAAACATTTCTTTGCGTATTGTGCAATGGGGACATTCACGTACAGATATGCATGTAATATCTCAAGTTTCCAGTGCTGGTCAGTGCAGAACAAGGTCACAGCCAAACAAAGTTATAGCAGAACAACAAAGTTATAGCAGGACAATACCCGTACAGCTTATTTTGGGGTGGATATGTTTCGCCTGTGTGCTACGTTAGACCTGTTGGTACCTGTCTTGGTACCTCTTAGCGTGTAGTTAGTGGGCTACTGGGTCCAAGTTGTGGACTGGTTCCCTGGGTTGTCAGTGGGGAGGTTCTGTTTTGTGTGTGTTACCCATAGTTTATGTGCCTCATGGACACCTTTACGTGTACCAAATTGTGTCGTTGCCATCAATTTGTATGCCCAATCTTTGTCTACCTGCTTTATGAGTTCCTCTATTGGTGATATCACTAGGTTAGCTGATATTAAGGTGTGATATAGTACTATCTTGACGTGTTTCGGGATGCCCTTTGGAAGCACGAATAAGAGACATGCCTGAGGGGTGTCCACTCTTGGGACGGGCAGCATCTTCTGGAGTAGGCGTGATACCATGTCCCAGAATGGCCTGAGTTTGGTGCATGTCCACCAAGTGTGTATCATAGTGCCTACCTCCCCCCCACAACTCCAGCAAATGTTGCTGGTCGACGGCCACATCTTGTGTAATTTGTCTGGCACCAAATACAGTGGTACAATATTTTGCATTGCAATTCCAGGTGTGTGGCACATGCTGTGAGCCCCTTGTGGGCTGTGTAGGCCCTCTCCCAGTCCCTATCTGCTATAACCTGGCCAATGTCATGATGCCATGCTAATTTTATCTCATTTAACGTGTGCGTTTGTTGCAAGAGTAACTCCTGGTATTCCCAGGACATTGTTTTTCGAAGTTTGTCATGTGGGTCGTATCGTTGGTGTCTGTCTGGACCCCCCATATGTCTGTCACATAGGATTTGAGTTGAAGATAGGAAAATATAGCTTTGGTGGGTGTTGTGCTTGGCCTGGATGTCGGGAAAGGGTTTCATTCGGACCCTATCAATGACTTGGTATATGTGGTGTACACCTCCTCTCACCTATGTCTCCCTGGGGAAGATTGGGATCACTTGCCCTATAGTTTGCAGTAGCGAGGCTAGGGATAATTGCAGTTTTGCCACCAGTTTATTTTTCATTTTACCCCACATTCTTAATAGGGTTTGGGAAGTGGGCAGGAGGGCGTCTAGAATTCGTTTAGGGACTGTCTGTTTCGACACTTGTGAATGGAGATCTCCTTGGGGGGCCCAGCTGGACTCAATCGACACCCATTGGGGGGCGTTGGTGGGCCAGTTAAGTTGGGCGATGTTGTGGAGGTAGGCTGCTCTGTAATATGTTGTCAGGTTCGGTAGGCCCAACCCCCCATTGCTCACAGTCTGTTGTAGCATCCCCGCTGCCACCCTCACCTTTTTCCCTTCCCATATGAAAGAATTAATAGTATGTTGGATGTTTTTCAGGTATTGTTTTGGTATGGGTATTTGCAGTGTTCGAAAAAGATATTGGATTTTGGGTATGAGCTACATTTTAACTGACGCTATGCGGCCCAGCCAGGAAAGGAACCATCCCCTCCATGTTTACAGAATATCCATGAACTCTTTAAGCAATCTGCATTATTGTGCCTAAATAAATGGGCTGGGTTCTTGGGGAGTCTGAGGCCCAGGAATGTCAGGTGATCATGCCTCCAGTCCAGAGGGAACTCCAGCGCTAGCCTGCTCGCCAGACTCTCACCCAACTGCATTCCCAGGGCCTGGGTTTTGGTGACGTTTAGTTTGTAGTAAGACACTGCTCCATATTTTTGGATTCATCAGGTTCGGTAGGGTTATAAGGGGTTGCGTGATCGTTACCAGTATGTCATCCACGAACAGATTGAGCTTGTACTCTGTGTCCCCTAGGTGAATGCCTTGTATGGTTGGATCTGCTCTGGCTGCTGCCAGAGGTTCCTGTGCTAGAATATAGAGAAGTGGTAAACAAGGGCAGCCCTGTCTAGAGCCGTTGGTTAATTTGTTTGGATATGAACTCTGAATGTGGGCTGCGAGTACAGTGCTCGGACAGTATTTATGAAGGTTGGGGGGAACCTGTATTTACAGAGCACTGCGTGTAGGAAAGGCCAGTTAAACTGATCTAAAGAGAGAAGCACCCCCCCCCCTTGTTCCTAGGTACATTCTTTGTGTTGTCGGAGCCCTGCCTACCTGTGGTGAAGCCCACCTGGTCATCGTGTATCAATGTAGCGAGGTTGTTGGTCAGTCTGGTGGCCTGTACCTTAGCATATAGCTTAGTGTATGTGTTCAGAAGTGAGACTGGCCTAAAATTTTGGCTACACGTGGGTGGTTTCCCTAGTTTGTGCAGCGTAACGATGTGCGCACCTAGCATATCTGCGGGCGCCTCATCATTAAGGGTAATTGCGTTGAATAGGTTTGTTAGGTGTGGTGCTAGGGTGTGTGCAGGGTCAGGAAAACAGTAATGCAAACAGTATTCATAACAGTCGAATATAACAATACAGTATATACATTGTCAATCATATGAGCAAACATTTCCCACTGAAGGGTAGTGCACTAAATGAGTAGTGCAAGGTGTGAGCGTGGTTACTATGTTAAGTTGCTAAAGTATTGGGCAGCAGGGTGCGCACACTCAGCCCGATACTCTCCATCTTCTGTCTCATGCGTGAAACTCTATGGTTGTTGCGTGTTTACCGGCTGGTGCTGTAAAGTGTGTGCGGTTTGTATTTTTTTTTTTACACGTTGTGGCAGTCGACTCTGTTGGCAACTGTGTCTCGGGGGTCCTGGCAGAGGCTAGTGTCAAGGTGCGTCTTGTGCCATACTTACTCTGCATGCCAGCGTGGCATTATTAGTGTGTATTGTGTAAGAGATTATGAGTGTACATAAAATGACATATTGCTTGTTATATACTTGCGTTTTGGTCACTGCCCAATGGTGGCTGCTGCTGTGGCAAGGTCAGCAACACTTAGTCCCTGAACCAGTTCATTTTTTAGCTTTTGTCCATTCCGGTGACAGTCTGTGCGGTGCAGCCGTGTCCCTTTTCTCCGGGTTTGGCATGATGTTCCAGGCATGTTTACTGTTGTCACCGTGCCATTTCTCCTGATTAGGAGGCAGATTGGGTATCCCCATCGGTACTGGACATTGTTGTGGCAAAGTGCTTCTGTCGTGTCCCTGAATTCCTTACGTTTTTGTAACGTGGTAGCCGAGAGGTCGGTGAACACCTTGATGTCCCTGAATCTTTGTGGTCTCAGCCTGCTCTCGTTGCTTGGAGCAATGCTTCTTTTGTGTGGAAGTAGTGTGGTAAGTCTACTGTGGTAAGAAAGCAGGTTTTTGCACCCTGTGGTATCTGTCTAGTAATAAGACCTCTGCAGGTAAGTCAGGTGTTAGAGCTTTGAAGTATCCTATCAGGTATTCTGCTGCTTCACCCCCTCCGGTATGCCTCTGATGCGAGATTTTGGCGCTGTGAGCGATCCTCCAGGTCCATGACCTTTCACTGTGTGCTCTCTAGCTGCTGCTGCAGGTCCTTCACCTGTTCAGCCATTTCATTATGTGCTGAGGCCTGATCCTCCATGCAGTGTTCCACACGTGCAGTCCTGTCCCCCAGCTCCTGTACCTCTTTTCTGATTTCCCTTAAGGTACCTTGTATGGTTTCCAGGATTTTACTGGACATGTTTTCCAAGCAGGTTTGCAGGAAGTCTTGGGTCACAGGCAGGTTTTGAGCCCCTGGGGAATTTTGCAGCGCCAGCGTGTCATTCCCTTCATCACCATCTTGGTCCTGGTCTGACAGGCCTGAGGCTTTTGGCGTTGATGCCCAGGTCGTGAAGAAGCCGGCACGGTCAGTCTTCTCTGCTTGTTTTTTGTGCATCTGGGTGGCCATGTCAGGAGGGATCAGAACAGTTTGTGTGTGAGCCGGTACTGCTGTTATTACGCTTTTTCGGGCTAGCGGTGTGTGGAGCTCAGTGCTGTGTGACCAACCGCGTTGCTAGTCAGGCCACGCCCCCCCATTCTTCTAAATTTTAGAGGTATTCCAATACCCTTTGCCAGCTCTTGGTTTTAAATTGCATGTTTAATCCAGATCTTCTAGTATTCTATACCATCTGGCCAGTTCTTTTTTTACAAATGCATTGTTCAAAATATTTAGAATATTATGGCCCATTTTATTTCTATTGTCATTATATATGTGAATCTTTAAATAATGCCACAATCTGAGTGAGTTAAAATACTCCGACTCTTTAAGTGCATATTCATTAAGAATCTGTATTGGGGTTTTAATACCCTCCTCAGATTTCTTATTTTATAAGGTCAAGCTTTAGATGAGGAATGTTATTCTTAAAAATTTCCAAGGGGGCAGAGGGCCATACTTTTTCATTCATGCCTATACGTTTTTAAATAATATCCAAAATTCAATACAATTCTCAGTCACCATTGACCATTGTCTTTTACTTAACGCATTAAATTTTTCAAGATGGATCCATAATGCACATTCCAAATTAGCCATCCCTGCAAGTTCTTGTTCTATATAGTACCAATTTGTATCTTTACTTTGTTTACATTGAAGCTTGGATAAGTGGCATAGCATACTCGCCTCTGCATACCGTTCTAAGCTTGGCATATTTAGTCATTCTACGACTGGCGCAAATAATTTTTTTGACACTCTAGGTTTCTTATCATCCCATACAAATCCATTAACCTTTGCCTGAAATGCTTTAATCCAGCATAGAGGACAACTTCAATGGGGTCATTCTCAATAAATACAGCCATTTTGGAATTATATAGGATCTACTCACGTTTATCCTTCCCATCCATGAAATGAACAGCCCTTTCCACTCACACAGTTGCCTATTCATTTCATCAAAAAGGGCTAAATAATTGACTTCAGCTATTGTTTGCATATTCCTTGGGATCTTAATCCCCAAATAGGCGATCTCATCAATTCCCCACTGAAAATCAAAATTTGCCTTCATTCTGTTTCTATCAATATCTGATATTGAGAAATCCAACACTTGAGATTTAGTAATATTTATTTTATAATTGGAAACAAAGCCATATTATTGGATTTCATATAACAATGAAGTCAGAGATTTCTCAGGATTGTAAATAGATAGCAAGATATCATCAGCATACATACTAAGTTTGCTTTAATGCCTTTAATATGTATATTATGCCTTATCCTTACCGCAGAAGGTTCTAATGTTAGAATATTGAGCATTGGAGCAAGGGGACAACACTGTCGGGTTCCATTATGTATACTAAACCATTCTGATCTCTAACCCTGTCCAATAACCCTCGCAGTTGGGTTGGTATATAAGGCCCTGACAGAGCCTCTCCAAATCCAAAATTTCTGAGTACGTCTTCTAAGTACTCTAAAGGTCCAAAGGTCTAAAGGTCCAACTGACTCTGTCAAAAGCCTTTTCGGCATCCAAAGAGATAAATATAGATGGTATTTTATTATAGCATACATATTCTATTAGACTAATGATTTTTCTGGTATTATCATTTGACTGTCTCTCTCTAACAAATCCAGCCTGTTCCTTTTGTATTAATATTGAACATATATTTTTTAGGCATGCCGCCAGAATGGCAGAGTATATTTTTTACATCTATATTAATCAATGATAAAGGTCTATAATAAGATAGTTTTGTAGAATCCTTTCCTGCCTTTGCTATAGGTAGGATAAAGGCTTAAAGCATTTCAGTTGAAAAAGGATACAAAATCTCTGACTTCATTAAAAATATTTGTCATATATGGGGATAGAGTGTCAACAAGTTTTTTTTATAAAACTCTGCAAGGAACCCAACAGGGCCTGGTGCTTTATGCAGTTTCAATGCTCCGATTGTCTGAATAACTTCTAAATTATCTATAGGAGCTTATAAGCAGTTAGTCTGTTCTCTAGACTTTTTTTTTTTCATTTAGATTCTTCTAAGTATTTTTTAATTGGTTCCCTATTTTTTAATTGACTTAATATTATACAATTTGGAGTAGAATTTTTTGAACACTTTCACAATTTTTTCCAGACTATTATGTTTATCCTCGTCAATTATTTTAAATATTCTGTTCTTCAGATTGCATTTTTGGTCATCATCTTTTCTGCTCTATTACCTAAATAATAGAATTTTTGTTTCAGTTTTATTAAATTTTTACTAGCTTTTATAATTAATTGTTCAATTTCTTTCTTGACTGTATTCCTTTCTATTATATCTTGTACTTCTGTAACACTATTACTGTACTGTAACTGCTGTAACTGCTATTACTCTTTTTTTCATTGCTTAAAGTTATATAAAGATCTGACAGTTTTTTTAAAATTAAATAGCCTCTTAATAAGCATTTATACGTGGCCCATACATTAGCGAGACTTACATCTCCTGTTAACTTTTCCTCAAAAAATTGTTTAGTAGTAGATATGATTTCATCCATATCACCCTTAGATTTTTTTAAAAACTTTCATTCATACGCCATGTTCATTCTCCTCTATTATATTTACCTTTAATTTCTAGACACACTGAGTCATGATCTGACCATACCACATTTTTAATTTCATTTTTTTTACAGTGTAAAATAAATACTGCTTTTGTTAGTATCATGTCAATTCTTGAGAAAGATTGGTGTCTATTTGAATAAAAAGTGTATTCCTTATTCATTGGTCTAGTGGTTCTCCATATATTCATACTGACCCAGTGTGTCCTAAAAAAATGGCTCTTGCAAGGCTAACCTGTCTATTATTCCATCCACTATTGCTTAAATTATGCTTATCCATGTTGCAATCTGCAATGCAATTAAAATCACTGCAACATATAAAGGTTCCTTGAACAAGTGCATTTACTTTTTGTAGGATTTTATTCCAAAAATGTATTTGCTTTGTATTTGGAGAATACATATTTAATATAGAATATATTCTATGGTCAATTTTACAAACCACAAAGGAGAATCTACCCATCTCATCACTCTATTTGTGTATAGTCTCTATTTTTATATTGTTTGAGGCAAGAATAGCTATGCCACATTTTGTTTCCCTACTTAGGGATGAATGTTCTATAACAGTGTATTTTTTATTATTTAGTCGGAGTATATCATTGCCCTTCATGCGAGTTTCTTAAATACAACAAATATCCATATGATCCCTATATAAGTATTCATTAAACATAGCTTTTTTTTTTAGGAGAATTCAAACCCTGCACATTCAGTGTCTCCATCCTTCAATTTCCTTTCTATTTTACCATAGCTCTGCTCATCACGTATGCACACATCACTATTTGATGTAATAACATCAAATTATATTTTTATATGACCCATCTATTTACATATTATATAGTGTATATTAAATTATATTCTAATAATGCCCTAAAAAAATAAAAAACTAAGATAATCCCTTTTTCTTTTTTGTACTTTGAAAACATTTAGTTATGTGTGCATTTAAGTATTTCATATTACTCACTTAAATCACCTTGAATTGTGGCTTTATGTGACCCCTCAAATTAAATAGTGTAGATGGGATTGTGTCCAGTAATCCATAATATAGTATTCAATCTATAGTAGTTCATCTCCCTTATACCTAAGAACCTTTTATTTATCTCTATTATCCAAACATTAAAGTAACATAGAATGTGACGGCAGATAAGAACCATTTGGCCCATCTAGTCTGCCCAATTTTTAAAATCATTTCATTAGTCCCTGGCCTTATCTTATACTTAGGATAGCCTTATGCATATCCCACGCATGCTTAAACTCCTTTAGTGTGTTAACCTCTACCACTTCAGCTGGAAGTCTATTCCATGCATCCACTACCCTCTCAGTAAAGTAATTTACTGATATTATTTTTAAACATTTGCCTCTCTAATTTAAGACTATGTCCTCTAGTTGTGGTAGTTTTTCTTGTTTTAAATATAGTCTCCTCCTTTACTGTGTTGATTCCCTTTATGTATTTAAATGTTTCTATCATATCCCCCCCGTCATCATCTTTCTTCCAAGCTATACATGTTAAGTTCCTTTAACCTTTCCTTGTAAGTTTTATCCTGTAATCTATAAACCAGTTTAGTAGCCCTTCTCTGAACTCTCGCTAAAGTATCAATATCCTTCTGGAGACATAGTCTCTAGTACTGCGTACAATACTCCAAGTGAGGTCTCACCAGTGTTCTATACAGTGGCATGAACACTTCCCTCTTTCTACTGTTAATACCTCTCCCTATACAACCAAGCATTCTGCTAGCATTTCCTGCTGCTCTATTACATTGTCTGTCTACCTTTAAGTCATCAGAAATAATCACCCCTAAATCCCTTTCCTCAGATGTTGAGGTTAGGACTCTATCAAATATTCTGTACTATGCCCTTGGGTTTTTACGTCCAAGGTGCATTATCTTGCACTTATCCACATTAAATGTCAGTTGCCACAACTCTGACCATTTTTCTAGTTTATCTAAATCATTTGCCATTTGGCTTAGCAAAAAGACATACCTTACCATCAAGGCATTCTGCAATATCACTAATAAAAATATTAAAGAGAATGGGTCCAAGTTCAGATCCCTGAGGTACCCCACTGGTGATAAGCCCATGCTTCGAATATACTCCATTGACTATAACCCTCTGTTGCCTGTCACTCAGCCATTGCCTTACTCATTCAACAATATTGGAATCCAAACTGAAAGATTGCAGTTTATCGATAAGCCTTCTATATGCAACAGTGTCAAAAAGCCTTACTGAAATCTAGGTAAGCAATGTCTACTGCACCACCCTGATCTATTATTTTAGTTACCCAATCAAAAAAAATCAATAAGATTAGTTTGGGATTATCTCCCTGAAGTAAACCCATGTCGTCTCTGATCTTGAAATCCATGTGTTTTTAGATGTTCAACAATCCTACCCTTTAACATGGTTTCCATTAC